GCAGCCACCCATGGGATGCGTGTGAGCAGTGGCACTGAGTTCACTACCTTGAAAGCACAGAGGTAAACTGAGTGCTTCCTGTGCTCCACAGTCATGTGTACTTCTTATTCCTAGCTTCCTCCACGGTGGCCCAAGGCCTGACCAACTCTCCACACCATTATCTGTCCTTCCTTCCCCTGGGCCAGCATCAAAGCTCTCCTCTAGTGCTGAGTTGTCACATGGATCATCCTACCATGGCAATCTCAGGAATTTCTGTGGTTCTGAACAAGGACGCAGGCTCTTCTCCTCTCTAGAGCCCTGAACCTCAGCCACCTCTCCCCTTCCTATTGTCTGATTTGCTACAACCAGGCCTTTCCACCTAAACCCTCTCTCCCTGACGCTTTCTTGCCACTGCACACCATGCAAATTTAACTCCAGATTCTTCCTGCAGGAATGTCTCTGCAGACTGCGTTGAACCCTGTACCTGAAGCAACAAGCCATTGTCATCCTTCAGGCCATCCTCCAGTAACTCGGTCAACCTGATCACAATGTAGTCATCGTACTCGAAGTGGCGTGAGTAGATGAGGGAAGCAATCACGTTGCACACCGCTTTGCTCATCAGGGCGTTGGGTCGAAAGGGCTGCCCTGTGAGTAGGAAAGCTCCTCAGAGTGCGGCCCAAATTCCCAGTTTCATGTACAGCTCCCTTGTGTCCCTCCCCATCACCTACCAGCATGGTTGGCAAAAGCATCACAAAGGCAGGAGGCCTCCTCGGTCACCCACTGCTCCAGAGACTTCTTCCCCAGGCCGAAGTTACGCAGGTTGGACACAGCGAAGCGTCGCAGCTCACGCCAGGCGGGTCCATAGGGAGCCCCAATAATGCCTGCCATGGGGAGTACATATCTGTACCAGACAGTACGAACCCGTGCCCTTGGTAACCCTTCACTCCAGGCTGCTGATCCCACACAAACTCTGTCTCACCCCTGGGCACCAGTTCTTTTCCAGGCCTCATACTTTAGAAGTCAAGGACGTCCTTTGTGCCTGGAGCACCTCACCATGCCCAGGCAGCCCTGTGTCCCTGAGTCACTGCTCCAGGGCTGTACCCTCATCCCACCTGTGCCCTATTGATCTGTACCTTGGGATCTTGGTCCATAGCCTATTAGTTTGTTGGTGCCCTCTTCGGGCCGATCTGATGTGTCCTCGCCATGGGTCACCAGAGCCTCCCGCACAGCCACCAGCCCATTGACCACGACCACTGGAGTCCAGGCAAACTGCAGGCTGAACACGTCCCCGAACCTACGTCTCAGCTGCAGGTGGAGGCCAGGGAGAAAGTGAGGCTGGGCTTCCTCACAGAATGCAGGTCGCAGTCTCGCTTCCAACACAGGGAGACCCAGTTCAACAGTGCAAGACTCAGCTGTGCTGCTGTTTCTTGGCTTTTTCTTATGGGAGTGAGGATGGCACTCACGGCCTCTTCTAGCCCCTCGACTCCCTGACCCCTAGTGTCTGCCTGGTGCCCTCCCATCTTCTTAGGTTCATAACAATCACTGTAGATCTAGCTGTGACCACCCAACTATGACTGGGCAGAGAGGAGATACACAGTGAGGCCCCTTAGCCTTCTATTCTTCACATGAGGAAGCTCAGGAGAAAGGTCAGAGCAGAGAGGCCCAGACCCACAGCAGCCTCAGAGTCTGATGCTGGTCACAGCAGTGCTCTCAGTATCAATTTTGTGATCCAAATGGTTCTTAACACCATCTTGCCCTGTTCCTTGATCCACAATCCTTTCCTTGGTTGGCTACAGAAGGGACATGGGTCCTATGCAACTTCATTTCCATCCCATCTGGGTCCAGACTCATGGCCACATCCTGCCCAACCTCCCGTTGTTTTCCCTCCTCTGCTCTGGGCTCCTTCCCAGAGAAATGCTCTACCTCCCCCGTCGTGGGCTGGCAGGTCCTTGTCTAGGCTGTGGCTATAAACGGTCAGTTACTTGGTGTCTACCTGACCATTGCTGCTCTCCACCTCCAGCTCCCCACCTTGTAGAAGGAATACACTGGGTTCTGGAAGTCCACCTGCAGCAGGTTGCCCAGCCCGGGAACTGGCATAGGGCCTGGTGGGTAGCGAGCAGCCCAGCGTTGACGCCGGTGCATCAGGTCCACCAAGAGCAAGAAGACCACCACGGCCACGGCCACAGAGAAGAGCGCATCCCCAGTCAGTAGCCCCATAGTTTCCTTCTTCAACGCTGGGCTCCTTTGACAGACAGTTTCACAGTTCTAGTCTGCTAGACGAGGACACACACTCCAGCACACTCTGCGTGTTTAAACAGGCAGGCTGTCCTCTTATAAAGCAGGCTGGAAAGTCTGCCCTTTGCTCAAGGTGTGAGACAAGCTGTGTGTTGACTTTGCAACTAGAGGGTGCAGGGAAGACCCAGGGCACAGCAGTGGCACACGCCCTCGCCCCTCCTGTCTCTTCCTGTTGATACACAGGGTGAGGAAAGGTCCTGGGAGGAGAGCTGCATGGAACTAGACACACTGTTATGCAGTTCTCAGCCCTGGGCCTCCATGGGAAGACAAGTGGATCTGAGCTCAAGGAGGAACAAGTGAAAACAGATGGAGGTCGGGAGCTGACAGGCCAAACCAGGAGAACTTTGGTGCTGCGATAAGTCAGACTGCAATAGGACATGGGGGATGGTATGCCACACTGGATAGGACTTTCACCCAGCGTCTCTGGAGAATTCTGCTGTCCAACAGGGATTAACTGGTATACGAGCATTCTCGGCACCATGTCCAGCAGGTTCCGTTGCCTTCTGTCCTATCTGACTAGCCCACAGAGCAATGGGTCACTGTGTGCCTATTCTCTGGCGAAATTCAAAAGCCCACCAACATACAGGGAACCTGAATTTGACCACCCTGGAGGACAAAATGTAAATTAATCCCTGTTTTCTCAGAAACTAAGCAAAAGGATCAAACATTGAAACCCAGCTTGGAGACATTTATCAACTTAGTGAAACTAGGACTCAAAATGAATTAATAAATAAATATGTTGTATAAAATGTTTTTAGAATTTTCTGTGGAAGATTCTTGGACTATGGTGTTCAAACTTCAATTAAATCAGAGAAAGAAACAGTATGGGTGAGAGTTGGGGGGCTAATAGCCATCTGTAGAATGAATTTCAATCAGCCCTAATACAGGAGCATGTATGGATGCTTGTGAGAAAATGAAAGAAGTCTGTTGGGGTTTTTTGTAAGGGCCATCCAAATAGTTTAGCAGATGAAAGCACCTGCAAGCAAGAACAGGAGCCAGGGGTCAATCCGAGGGCCGGCAGGGCTGGCCCCGTCCTTGGGGCGAGTTGAGACGGCAATTGAGATTAGGCATAGTGGCACACACTTGTAATCTCAGCACTAGAGAGCCTATAAATGGGAGAATTACTTCAAGTCACATCTAGTAGTGAGACCCTAAATACCCTGGAGACCCTTTCCTAAAATACCAAAAAAGAACTTTGAGAATGACATCAATTAATTAAGTAAGGCATTTGCGAAAGATGAATCCAGTATGATCCCAGTCGAATGACTTACCAGTGCTAGGTAGATTCATGGATACTATGGTAGATTGTGTTAGCCGGGGATGAGGGCCACGGAAAAAGGAAAACTATGGTCAGAGTGGCTTAGCATTTCACTGTTGTTAAATGAAAGGAAACCTGTGGATAAACAGGAGTGATGTTTGGTAGGTATCAGACCCCAATAAAAACAAATACATACGGGTACTTATACATCTGTGATCATTTTGTGGAAAGTGCAAAGGTGGGCGGTAGGTGTGGCAGACTTCCTTGCCAGGCCTACATGTCAACCCTGAATGTGCCAAAACAAATCCCTGACTCCCAAGGGCAGCTGGGAAGCCTCAGCTAAGGCCATGGCACAACCTTCCTAATAAGAGTGTCTCTCTACAGCACCATCTAC